TCCCACGAACCGACCACGTGCACGCCGCACTGGGAAGGGAGTCCCCGTCCTGGCCTCCCTGTGACCCGAACACAACCGGTTTCCTTCTCCAGCTCGTCCTTGCAATCTTCCCTGCGCAAGTCGGGAGAGAACCTGAAGGTCGCCTGACACGAAACGTCGTCTTAGAGGATGCCGGGCAGAGCCCCCCAGGCTCGGAACCGGTCCAGTGACAGAACCATACTCTGTGGAACCCCACATTTGCCTTTCTTGGTCCAGACACAGCATAGACGGCTGCAGCCCCCAGGGACACACGGTCCCTCCAACAGTAACCCACAGACCCCGGCCAAACGTCAAACCTCCGAGGCTCCATCGCAGCACCGACAGGCACGGTGTCAGTCCTGATGCGGCGCGGACGGCGCGCCACCAGCACGCAGGTGCACGAGGTGTCTGCGTCTAACCCTGAAAGTGTCTCTGACCCTACAGGCCAGTCAAAGATGGAACCCAGCAGCACTTTCTAACATACGCATAGTTTTCAACGTTGAGGGGAGAAGGAGAACGTCATCGGCACCTTTCTCTGCAAACAGACCTGCTTTTAGCAACCTGAGCAACAGCAAGCTCGGGCGGGGCTGCGGTCTCCTCTGAAGCTGCAGGCGCACCGGCTCGGAGGGGCCAGGGCCCGGGAGTGCTGGCGCCTGCCCCAGCCGAGCCGAGCAAGCCAGCGCTCGCGCCACCCACTCGGCTCCCTAACGGCAAAGAGCCTGGTCTGAGCGGCTTGCACACACGAAGCCATAAACGCACTTGTCCTGACCAATGTGATTAGGCAGGACACCGAGCAGAGTGAGCAGATGACAGACGATTCGAACGGCTACCAAGAGACATCAGCCCGCAGACAGACACGTGAGCAGAGCGTTTCCGGACTTCACCGGGCTCTGAGTTCTCCCCATCCTCCCCAGCCCCGCGCAGTCTTCTCCCCAGTTACGGGCAGGCTCAGGGGACACGAGGCCGCTCACATGAAGACCTCTGATCATCACATTTGAATCCCCGAGGCCAACGCTCCACTGGATCTCTCAGGGACGTGAATCAATTATCTTTTACTTTGTGTGGCTGCTTCATTACGCTCAGATTGGGTTCCCTGGTCATTTAAAGAGCTCTATCATGATTACCACAATAAAGTAAAAAAGTATGCAATTTCTCTACTTAAAACTATTAAAAATTTAAAGATTTGCTTTATGTGAATACAAAGATCAGTTGTCATTATAAAATATAAACATAATGCAAACATGTTACCTGCTTTACTGAGAAAATCTAGAATTCAAATCAGTTATTTTACACTCAAAGACTTGACATTTCCTTTCAAAACATCCATCCAAAAAAAGCTAAAACACTAACCCAGTAAAGGTTGAAAAACATGTCAATTAAATTAATTGGGACACTATCAAGTCCTCAACTTGTTTCCTTAGAAACGTAATCTGCGACGGAAGACGACCTGCGGTGGTGAACACACAGTATACAGATGACGTGTTACAGAATCGTACACCTGAAACCTCATCATTTCATTAACCAATGCCACTCCAATACATTTAATAATTTTTTTTAAAAACCACAATCTTATCTTAAATTAAATAATACTGAATGTCCACTGTAACTAAAAAAAATTTTTAAATACATTAAGTCCAGCTGGTGTGCCTCAGTGGCTGAGTGTACCACACATCAGGTCGCCGGTCCGGGTTGTGGGCCCGATCCCCAGTGGGGGGCATGCAGAAGGCAGCCAATCCATGTTCTCTCTCATTGATGTTTCTATCTCTCTCTCCCTCTCCTGTCCTCTCTCTAAAATCAACAACAACAAAAAACCCTAAATAAATACATTAAAAAAAAACACATAAACTTCTTCTCATCTCATTGTTTCTTTTGAGTCCCTATTTTATTGACTTCTTGTTAAGTCACTCTCAACATGACTCAATGTGCCAAGTTCCCTTCTGCCCCAGGAGCCACACTTCCCTCAGGGTGTCCCAGGCCTGGTGCTCTGCTGTGGCTCAGGTACCCCCCCAGGGCGGCCCAGACTGAGCGCAGCCACGTTACCAGGAAGCGTTACCAGGAAGCTGGGGCTGACATGCAAATTACTGGGTCCCCTTTCAGACCAACTGAATCAGCAGCTCTACGGATGGGATTCAGGGGCCTGCACCGATGACTCTCAGGCACACGCAAGTGCAAGCCACCGCCTGCTGCAGTGTGCCTGCAGGGTCGCCACCCTGGCTCTCCATTCGCTCACACTTCCCCTGGGCAACAGAAGACACTCCACAGCCCCGCCAGCGGGTGACTTCCCCTGGGCAACAGAAGACACTCCACAGCCCCGCGAGTGGGTGACTTCACCTGGGCAACAGAAGACACTCCACAGCCCCGCGAGTGGGTGGCTTCACCTGGGCAACAGAAGACACTCCACAGCCCCGCGAGTGGGTGACTTCCCCTGGGCAACAGAAGACACTCCACAGCCCCGCGAGTGGGTGACTTCCCCTGGGCAACAGAAGACACTCCACAGCCCCGCGAGTGGGTGACTTCCCCTGGGCAACAGAAGACACTCCACAGCCCGCGAGTGGGTGACTTCCCCTGGGCAACAGATGACACTCCACAGCCCCGCCAGCGGGTGACTTCACCTGGGCAACAGAAGACACTCCACAGCCCCGCGAGTGGGTGACTTCCCCTGGGCAACAGATGACACTCCACAGCCCCGCGAGTGGGTGACTTCCCCTGGGCAACAGAAGACACTCCACAGCCCCGCGAGTGGGTGACTTCCCCTGGGCAACAGAAGACACTCCACAGCCCCGCGAGTGGGTGACTTCCCCTGGGCAACAGAAGACACTCCACAGCCCCGCGAGTGGGTGACTTCCCCTGGGCAACAGATGACACTCCACAGCCCCGCCAGCGGGTGACTTCACCTGGGCAACAGAAGACACTCCACAGCCCCGCGAGTGGGTGACTTCCCCTGGGCAACAGATGACACTCCACAGCCCCGCGAGTGGGTGACTTCACCTGGGCAACAGAAGACACTCCACAGCCCCGCCAGCGGGTGACTTCACCTGGGCAACAGAAGACACTCCACAGCCCCGCGAGTGGGTGACTTCCCCTGGGCAACAGAAGACACTCCACAGCCCCGCGAGTGGGTGACTTCCCCTGGGCAACAGATGACACTCCACAGCCCCGCCAGCGGGTGACTTCACCTGGGCAACAGAAGACACTCCACAGCCCCGCGAGTGGGTGACTTCCCCTGGGCAACAGAAGACACTCCACAGCCCCGCGAGTGGGTGGCTTCACCTGGGCAACAGAAGACACTCCACAGCCCCGCGAGTGGGTGACTTCCCCTGGGCAACAGAAGACACTCCACAGCCCCGCGAGTGGGTGACTTCCCCTGGGCAACAGAAGACACTCCACAGCCCCGCGAGTGGGTGACTTCCCCTGGGCAACAGAAGACACTCCACAGCCCCGCGAGTGGGTGACTTCACCTGGGCAACAGAAGACACTCCACAGCCCCGCGAGTGGGTGACTTCACCTGGGCAACAGAAGACACTCTACAGTCCTGCGAGTGGGTGACTTAACACTCATCCCACAGTAGGGCAGACGGGTCTGTTTTTCTCCAGGACCCTGTTCAGAGCTCGGTCTATTCTATTTGCGTCTCTGGGGCCTGGGAAGAAAATGGCAAGGCTACATTTTAGAAAATATCTTCACTTTGTGCTCTCTTCTGAAACCGTTCAACTATCTATTTCAGTCCAGAGAAAAACACCCTCATTTTATTTCTCTCTAGATTTGGAGGACATACGACTTCTCAGGAACTGTGGAGGCTGGGGGTAAAGAGAACAAGATGTAAACTGCCCCTTCGGCTCCACCCCCGCGCAGACGCCATCAGACGGATGACAGCTCTGCGACACTGAAACGCAAGGCTGAGAAGCGGTCCTAACCTGTTAACCGGGGAATTCCCTCTTTAATTACAGCATCTAACGGGCGCGAACTCTTTCACCAGGACGTGTAAATACGCCCCGCTCAGTAACAGGTAAGGTCCGAGAGTGGTAAGACTGAGTGTCAGACTCTGGGTTATCACTGGTTGGTTTAAGAATTCATCACAAAGTGTGCCCTGGCCGGTTTGGCTCAGCGGTTAGAGCGTCGGCCTGCGGTCCACAGAGACCCGGGTTCGGTTCCCGCTAAGGGCATGTACCTCGGTTGCAGTTTGTCCCCGGCCCTGGTTGGTTGTGCGGGTGGCAGCCACTCGATGTGTCCCTTTCACGTCGATGTTTCTCTCTCTCCCTCCTGCTCTGTCTGAACAAAAAATGGAAAAATGTCCTCGAGTGAAGATAAAAAAAAAAAAAATTCATCACAAAGTAAACATTGTTTGAGGACACGTGTTTACAACATAAAGTCTTCCAAACAGTTAACATGTAAAGTGCTAATCACACAACAGAGGGGTTCCTTCCACATTAGCCTAATAAAAGATTATTTTTACAATCAACGCTAGAGAGGTGGGCCCCCAACTCTACAATCTCTCATATTCCTCTCAAAAAATTTTGTAAAAGCTTAAAAATTAAATATCAAGCCCTGGCTGGTTTGCTCATCGGTTAGAACATAGACCTGTGGTCCAGAGAGACCCGGGTTCGGTTCCCGCTAAGGGCTCGTACCTCGGCTACAGTTTGTCCCCGGCCCTGGTTGGGTTGTGCAGGTGGCAGTCACTCGATGTGTCCCTTCACGTCGATGTTTCGCTCGCTCTCCCTCCCTCCCACTCTATCTGAACAAAAAGTGGAAGAATGTCCTTGGGTGAGGATAAAAAAAAAATTAAATATCAAACCATGCTTAAAAATTCTGGAGGCTATTTCTAAAATGTGAATTACTTACAATTCTGACGACGCAATGCCCAGAGCCCAACTAGAAGCACCGGGAGAAGGGCCGGGCCCGCTGCACTCTGCCAGCGCCCCAGCCGGCGTCGAGGTCCGCTCTGGGCGCGCCTGCCTGACATCGTGATGCTGAGGTACGAAGCCACATTTTGCCAACATTTCTTTATTAATCTAACAAATAATTTCTCCCACAATAGCAACTGCGGTAAAACCCTCCACAGCAGTAGCCAACCCGCCGTCGTGCTCTGTGTCTTGATTAATGTAGTACAGACATTCGCAAACTACAGAGCCACACAAGTCTGCAAGCAACTGATAAATTCTGACATGTTAGGAATAAACTATATTCTAAATAGCTTCATTGAACTTTCCCTTTTCCCTTAAATTTTTCTTTTTATCATTCATGCTGCCCACTATTTTTTTCTCTAAACTCCATTAAATCCCAGATTTAAATATGGCCAAAGATAAAACAACAATATTGAGATGGGCATCAACAAAATAGCTGAGTTTTATCAGAGTCTAAGCGACTTAAAGCTATTCTCTAAAAAACAATTTATCCACCCAAGGCCAACATGGAAAAAGTTAAAGTCAAATCTTAGGTTCTTCACAGCTGACCTGTCAGATACATGGGAGCATTTTCAAGGCTCGAAGCTGAAGTGTAAACACCAAACAGTCAGCTGTCACTGGTGGGATGCCCAGCAGCTGGAGACCGAGACACACAGGCGTGCTCAGCTTGCAGGAGGAGGCCTGAGCTGGTACAAAACACGTCAACCAAGTTGTAGCCCTCGTCGAAGATAACAAATGTTACCACACCTGTGTTATAACCTGTAAGTAACTTCTCAGCTGAAACTGCGTTGCCTCTTGCCACTATATCAGGTTAACAGTTCTGCAGTCTCAATTAAAAGGATAAGCCCCGCCCCGCCAGTGTGGCTCAGTGGATTGAGCATCGTCCCACAGGCTGAGAGGTGCCAGTTCGAATCCTAATCAGGGCAGTGCCCAGGCTGCAGGCTTGATCCCCAGCAGGGGGCGTGCAGGAGGCAGCCAATAGATATTTCTATCACTCGCTCCCTTCCTCTCACTCTAAAATAAAAATCAACAAAAACATGTTAAAAAAAAAGATAAGCCATCGTAACCAGTTTTCTGCAGACTAATCTTGTCAGCCAGAGATCAGTGTGGTCCGCCCCGAGGCTGTCCCACGCGTGATTATTACCAGCCGCGCATTCGACAGACGTTCGCGGACAAAGTACAAGGCTGTGCTGAGTGTTCAGTGGACCCAATGCTGACATCTCCTAACTACCCATAGCTCCCTCACTCCCACCAACTTCTATTCCTATACGGAGGCCGAAGTATATCAGGACTGTTGCTATAGGGTTATTTTTCTACATTATGGTCCCACTTCTGCTAAATTACTCTTACAGTATCTTTTTAGAACTCTGAAATATTAAATTCATTGAATAAAAATTTTCAATTTTATTCCTCAAATATAATACAATTCTGATGTTAGGGCAAGTTAAATGAGACAAGTGATCTCCACTCAGTATTAATGTTATAAAGAAGTTCAACTAAACTTTCTTTAGAGAGGCGAGTTTGAATTTCCCTAAAAATGGTACATGATCTTTATCTGTGTGTGAATCTAAAGTCTGTCCCTAATGAAATTACCTGTAAGTTAAAAACAAAAATTTAAGCAGACGACGGTTAAATATGTTAACAGGTACGCTGGGCACTAAATTCAAAGTTTTTATTTAACTTATATCTGCTTATTTTTTATTGAGTTAAGTGATAAAGGCCCAGTTAATCAACTCATTAGATTGGTCATGGCAAGACACCTGAACTCTAACAGGATTTAAAAAGCAGTTGGTCTTGTGGTAGTTTCTCTGGCAATCACACGTGCGCACGCACACACACGTTGGTAGAGCACTCTGCATGTAGCATCTCCCCCTTCATCTCGTGTAATGCACTGTCACAATCTGCAGTACTTTGAAACCCATATAGTTGGACACACCAAATTAGAGATGTCTGATAAACTCTTATAAAGTATTTGAGAATTTTAGCTGTATTCCCAAAAAGATCGATTCTAAACTATAAAAAAGGAAAATTCATATAAAATCACAACAGATTTAACAGACATCTTTGGAAAAAAATCAGATTCTAACTCATTTTGCCATTTTTTCAAATATGACTAAGGGAAAAAGGTGGAAGTAGTAATGTTTACATCGTTAGAAAACTGGGAACTGAGCGGACGGGGAGGAGACGACTGGACAGTATTTTGCACTCCACGGACGCGCAGAGCCCGCGTGTGCCAGCGCTGAAACCTGTCTTCATTGAGGTTTTCCAAGAGGGACAGCGAGCCTGCCGGGGAGCATCTGGCCTGCACTAACAGCTGGCTGTCTTCAGTGCAGGCCTTCATGACGTCAGCCACGCTGCTCTTGCAAAAATCACTTAATGTCTGAAAGACACACAGGGAGAAGAATGTTCTATTTCAACTTCACTCTTATAAAATCAACTCCTTGATCAGAAAGAAATGAGAACATTTCTGCTAAGCAAAAGCTAACACCTACCTCTCCATGTTTTCACACATTTGCTTATAAATTCTCTATGTGGAGCATGCAAAAATCATTTGCATACTCTTAGGAACTAGTTATTTGAAAGTAAGGAGAGAATATGGATATGAACATCTTAGTATACTACATTAATTCTGGCCATTAGAAGTTCACAGTAAAAAAAAATGACGTGATAGCCCTGGCCGGTTTGGCTCAGCAGTTGGAGCATTGGCCTGCGGACCAGAGTCCTGGGTTCAGTTCCCGCTAGGGGCATGTACCAAACAAACAAAAAACCAAACAAGAGATGTGATAAGCCCAATTATTAAGTCTCGAAAATAACTTAGTACAATATTACTTTATTTTTGCAGACCCAAACTCTCTTGACCTCTTCTACATTTTAACAAAAAAAAAAAATCCTTCTGTTAAATCCCAAGTTGGAAACTCAAGAGATTATATGTAATATCTAGTATGTTGCTGATTCGTGATAAAATTAACCAACAGCTGTACATAGTTCTTACATTTTGAAACCACTTACAAAAGAGTTTCAGTGCCGAGAGGCGGGGCTATGACCGATGGTGAGGGATCGAATCCATGTGCACATTGAGCTTCATCTCGCTGTCGAGGATCTGGACGAGCTGCTGCACGGACGGCAGGTGGCCGGACTCCAGCTTGGACCACACGGGCACATCTGTAAGAGCAAGCGGTGCCAGCCCCACATTAAGGTTGATTCTGTAATGAACACTCATTCCACAAACATCCTCTGTCCATGTACACAGCTGGGACACAAACGTGAGCAAAGAAGTATGCTCCTTGCTCTAGGAGTCTGCATTCTATTAGGGATACAAAAAACTAGACAAGAAGCTACAAAATTACAACTGTGTACTAGGAACTGAAACCAGAAGATGCTATGAGAGAGGGATGAGGGGCTGGAAAGGAGCTGTTGCACTTAGTTATTAAAAGTGAGAGATTATAATGAAAAGTGAGCCTGACCGGCGCGGCTCAGGGATTGAGCATCATCCCATGGACTAAGAGGTCGCGGTTCAATTCCCAGTCAGGGTACATGCCTGGGGTTTCAGGTTCGATCCCCAGTAGGGGTTGTGCAGGAGGCAGCCAATAGATGTCTCTCTCTCCCCCTAAGAAAATATGATCCTATTTATAATTAAACATGAGAACAGTGAAATATAGAACAGTGGTACAAGGGAGGCAGGAGAGGTATGCAGGAAGTAGATCAGAGATCAACGAAGGGACAGTTAGTAAATCAATTCAGCTCAAAAAGATAAACAATCTGTCACAGCTACTCAACTCTGCTAGCATCTGGAAAGCAGCAATAGGTGATACATAAATGAAGGGCACAGTTATATTCGTTACACTTTATCTACAAAACAGGCAGCACAGGACATGGTCCACAAACAAGATCATGGTTTGCTGATCCCTGGGCTAAACATGCAGGGCCTTTTGGCCTAAATGTCCTGGTCTTTACCTTGAGAACAAAGTAAAGACATTTAATGAATTTGAGGCAGTGAAACAAGATGAAATGTGCATTAAAAAAATCACTCTGGCCCTGGCCGGTTTGGCTCAGCAGTTAGAGCGTCAGCCTGTGGTCCAAAGAGACCTGGGTTCGGTTCCCGCTAAGGGCATGTACCTCGGTTGCAGTTTGTCCCCGGCCCTGGTTGGGTTGTGAGGGTGGCAGCCACTCGATGTGTCCCTTTCACGTTGATGTTTCTCTCTCTCTCTCTCTCTTCCTCTCTCCCCCTCCCACTCTATCTGAACAAAAAACAGAAGGGTGTCCTTGAGTGAGGATTAAAAAAAAAAAAAAATCACTCTGGCCCTGCCAGTGTGGCTCAGTGGTTGAGCATGGACCCTGCACCAAGAAGTTGCTGGTTCGATTCCCAGTCAAGGACACATGCCCAGGTTGTGGGCTCGATCCCCAGTGGGGGCATGCAGGAGGCGGCCAATCAGTGATTTCTCATCGACATTTCTCTCTCTTCTCCTTCTTCCTTCCTCTCTTTCTAAATCAATGAAGAAAACATGTTTTTTAAAAACCACTCTGTCTGGAACAGGTGTCAGCAAACGATTCTGTAAGAAGCCAGACAGTCAATGTTTGGGGCTTTATGGACCAAGAGGCAAAATCAAGGATATTATATAGGTACTTACACAACTAGAGAGATAAATGTAAATTTTCAAGTTTTTCATTAATGAAACTCAAAACTTTAGTTATAAACACTAACATTTGAATTTCATATAATTTCTCTGTATCACAAAATATTCCTATGATATTTTTTTAAGTTAAAAAATATAAAAACTACACTGGCTGGTTTGGCTCAGCGGTTAGAGCGTTGGCCTGCGGTCCCGAGAGACCCAGGTGGTTCCCGCTAAGGGCATGTACCTCAGTTGTAGTTTGTCCCTGGGTCCTGGTTGGGTCGTGTGGGTAGCAGCCACCCGATGTGTCCCTTTCACGTCGATGTTTGTTTGTTTCTCTCTCTCTCTCTCTCTCTCTCTCTCTCTCTCCCTCCCTCCCTCCCACTCTACCTGAACAAAAAATGGAAAAAATGTCCTCGGGTGAGGATAAAAAATAAATAAAATAAAATAAAATAAAAACTACTGTAATCTCAAGGTGTAGGCCATATCTGCTAACCTCTGGTTTAGAGAATGTGTTAGCGGGTCACAGGTAACTGTGGCTTAGACGAGAGCGGTACCAGTGAAGAAAAAGAAACGGAGGCACCCAAGGAAGGGCTGGTTTCTGAGGAATGTAAAAGGTGGAGCTGAGAAAACCTGGTAATCTATTAGGTATGGGGAATAAAGGGAAAAGTGATGTTACCCTAGATTTCTGACATGGCCCACTGGGTAGAATGATAATGGTGCCTTGAAATAAATGACAAAAACCAGGGAAGGAGCAAACTGAAACATACGAGAATTAGAGGAAGTGCCCTCGAAGGTGTGGTTCAGTGACTAGGGTGTTGGCCCACACACCAAAGGGTCAAAGGTTCAATTCCCAGTCAAGGGCATGTACGTGGGTTGCAGGTTTGATCCTCAGCCCAATGGGTCATGTGCAGGAGGCAACCAATCAATGTGTCTCTCATACTGATGTTTCTCTCTCCCTCTCTCTCTCTAAAAATCAATGGAAAAAATATCCTCGGGTGAAGATTTAAAAAAAAAAAAAGAATTACAGGAAGAAAAAGTAATCACCAGTTTGGGAGGTGGAGTTGGAGATTCTGGGGGCACCTAGAATAAAGATCTAGAGCTCTTTGGAGCTCTCCATCCAGGGTGATCATGCAGATATCAGACAACAGAGGAGGAACAGATAAAGATATAACTTAGCATATTACGAAAAATAGAAATGCCTGATGCTCATTATAAATCACTTGAAATTTATCACAAAATGCAAACCATTCAGAACCTACCATTCAAAGTTATCTCAAATGCACCTGTTGACATACACTGGTTCTCAATCATGTTGCTCAAGAAGAAAACCATCATACATGCATAGACCTAAAAGAAAATATAATTAAGTACAACAGGCAAAGTCATTTAGAAATCAAAATATGACAACTAAGACAGATGAACCTTTAAAATAGTCTCATTTTTATTTGCAAATTGTCCTTTTTAATTCTACTTTTAAAAAATCTATACGAAGTACTACTACCATTCCATATGTTCAATAACATACACAGAAAAATGCAACATTAATTCACAGCTCAATACATCCAGAAAAACTGATGATATTCATACTGTAGAGACAGATTTCTAGAGAGCTCTCAATAGCCTTAGTAAGTTTAACAGAAGAAGAGCAGCATAAGAAGGGTTCATTTTGCCCTTTTGATAATGGATGAATTCACAAGAGACTACTGATGCAACACTGATGTAGCAATCAGCAACTCCATGTTTTCAATACAACCTGTGAATGTGTTTGGTCTTCCTCCCAGTTTCTGGCATCTAAGACCCTTGGAATTTCCTAAGTGAAGGGAACGGAACAGTGTCTTTCATTATGCTGATGGTGTGATCGGGAACAGCACTCAGGATAAGGCTGACTGTCAGGGAAGTCACCCATGTGATTAGAGCACTGGGCATTTCTGTTCCAGGGAAGGGAAGAGGCTGGAAGTCAAATTAGCTGCCAATTGCAATGATTTAGTCAACCGTGCTTATGTAATGAAGCCTCCACAAAAATCTAAAGGGACTGGATTGAAGAGCTTCAGGGTTAGTGAACCTTTACATAAAGAGCAAGGAGAATGGCACACCTGGAGAGGGCAGGGAGGCTCCCTTCCCACACACCTTGCCCTATGCATCTCTTCCTTCTGGCTGTTTTTGAGCTAGTAATCTAGTAAGATGTTTGTGTTGAGTTCTGTGAGCCACGCTAGCAAATTAAACAAACCCATGGAGGAGGCTGTGGGAACCTCCAACCTATATCCAGTTGACCAGAAGCACGGGTAACAACCTGGGCTTGCAACTTGCATCTGAACACAAGGGGGGGGGGGGAATTCTTGTAGGACTAAATTCTTAACCTGTGGAATCTGATGCTATCTCCAGGTAGAAGTGTGAGAACTGAGTTGAACTTTCAGACACCCTACTGATATCCAGATCATTGTTGGTGCAGTGGGAACCCTCCTACACACACACACACACACACACACACACACACACACGTTTAAATGGGGTCCAAAAGACAAACTAAGAAAAAAAAGTAGGTTAGAAAGCACTGGCATATTAAATTACATTCATTCACCTTTGAATGCAAATACACACCCTCCCAACAGAGACTAGACACTCCCTGATGGACCGAGAATTTCATGTAACAAAATCGCCTGCCTCAAAGTACAAGTAGTGAGGATGTCAATTTATAGAAAAGTGTCTCAGAAAAATAGATCAGAATGCCACAGCAGATGAGAGAGTTTTCCTGCCCGCCTTCCCTCGAGCCGCGTGGGCTCTGGTCTCCCTGCGATCACCGCGGCATCTGAAGGTGTATGTCTACTTTCAGGGACCAGCACACAAGGAAGGGTCATGTAAGCTACAGCTTTCGAGTACACTCACCGTTCACGGTAGATCAACAATTTTATATGTCTAAATAAGTAAAACACTCTGAAGATATTTTAAAATCAACATAATTAATAAATATAACAAAATATTATCAATAAGTACTTAACTTCCAATTCTTAATTCTATGTGAATCGCTGTTTTATTCATAACAAGGCAGACACACTGAGAGGTACACCTGAAGTTCCCTAAGAACAAGAAGCACGTACAGCTAGCTATGCAGGAGTCAGCAACAGGCAGTCTCACCCCAGAAGTAAAGGATAAGACCACACAGGACTCCAAAAAGATAATGCTTCTTAGAAAGAAACTTGTGCAATCTCATCAAGAGAGAACTAGAAATTAGTCCCATTTCTTACAGTAGAAAGGCAGACCCCCTCCAGAAAGATAATTTTAATAAAACAGATGAAAAGAGATCTAGAAAGAATGTATGCTGCAGCAGGACCTACAAAAACAGACAGGTAACTTGCTAAACAGATTCTCCATGAACAAGAGTCAAAGGACAAATGATAAAAACAGAGTGTGTGTGTGTGTGTTTTGATAAGAACAATTCACCAGAAATCCCGTTTTTAACATAAACCCACTAATACCTGTATCGGTTGGTATAAAAGGCCTAATTTATATATATGATTTATGTAATTAATGTATTTTTGTTACAGATGTTTCTTTTTCCCTCACTGACCTTCCTCCTGTTTCTGGCCACCCAGCATCGTTGTCTATGCCCACTGGTAATGCTTATATGCATAAGTTCTTTGGTTTATCCCCCCCCCCCCACACACACACACACCCTCCTCTGAAGTTTTCATCCTGAACCTTACTTCTACATCTCTGGGTGTATTCTGTTCATCAGCTTATTTTGTTCAGTGAGACCATCTGATACTTGTCTTTCACTGATTGGCTTATTTTGCTTAGCATAATACTCTTCCAGGTTCCTCCATGACATCTAAAAGGATAAGAGATCTTTCTTTCTTACAGCTGCGTAGTACTCCATTGTGTACATGTACCACAGCTTTTTTATCCTCTCATCTACTGATGGGCACTTGGGCTGTTTCCACATCTTAGCTATTGTAAATAGTGCTGCTATGAACATAGGAGTACGTATATTCTTTCTGATTGGTGTTTCAGGCTTCTTAGGATATATTCCTAGAAGTGGGATCACTGGGCCAAATGGCAGTTCAAGTTTCAATTTTTTGAGGAAACATCATATTCTTTTCCATAGTGTCTGCACCAGTCTGCATTCCCACCAGCAGTGTACTAGAGTCCCCTTTTCTCCACACCCTCGCCAACACTTGTTGTTTGATGACTTTTTGACAGCAGCCCTTCTGGCAGGTGTGAGGTGATACCTCATATTTGTTTTAATTTGCGTCTCTCTGATGGTTAGTGACGTTGAGCATTTTTTCATGTCTTTTGGCCATTTGTATGTCCTGTTTGGAGAGGTGTCTCTTTAGGTCCTCTGCCCATTTTTTAATTGGGTTCTTTGTCTTCCTTTTGTTGAGTTGTAGAGTGCATATTTTGAAAATTAATCCCTTATCTGATATACTGTTGGCAATTATGCTCTTCCATATAGTGGGTTCCCTTTCCATTTCCATGGTTGTTTCTTTTGCTGTGCAGAAGCTTTTTAGTTTGATGTAGTCTCATGTGTTTATTTTTTTCGTTGTTTCTCTTGCCTTAGGCATTGTGTCAGTGAAACTTCTGCTGCATATGTCTGAAATTTTGTTGCCTACAGTTTCTTCTAGGCAATCTTTTATGGATTCACAAGTCACATTTAAGTCTTTTATCCATTTTGAGTTTATTTTTGTGTATGGTGTAAGTTGATGGTCTAGTTTCATTTTTTTGCATGTAGCTGTCCAGTATTCCCAACACCATTTATTAAAGAGGCTGTCTTTACTCCACTGTATGCTCTTGCCACCTTTGTCAAATACTAATTGAGCATAATGTTTTGGGTCAATTTTTGGGTGCTCTGTTCTGTTCCATTGATCTATATGCCTGAACAGTACCAGGCTGTTTTGATTACAGTGGCTTTGTAGTATAACCTGACATCTGGTATTGTGATCCCTCCTACTTTGTCCTTCTTTTTCAAGATTGCTGTGGCTATTCAAGGTCTTTTTTGGTTCCATATAAACTTTTGGAGTGTTTGTTCTAGTTCTGTGAACTATGTCACTGGTATTTTAATGGGTATTGCATTGAATCTATAGATTGCTTTGGGTAGTATAGACAATTTAATGGTGTTAATTCTTCCAATCCATGAACAAGGTATGTGCTTCCACTTTTTTATAGCTTCCTCTCTTTCTTTCTTTCGTTTTTTTTTTATCCTCACCAGAGGACATTTTTGCATTTATCTTCAGATAGAGCAGAAGAGAAGGGGGGGAGAGAGAGAAACATCGATGTGAGAGAGACACATCGACTGGCTGCCACCCACATGACCCCAACCGGGGCAGGGCACAAACTGCAACCGAGGTATGTGCCCTTAGTGGGAACCAAACCCAGGACTCTCTGGTCCCCAGGCCAACGCTCTAACCGCTGAGCCAAACCAGCCAGGGCTCTCTATTTTTTCAATGTCCTGTAGTTTTCTGCCAACAGGTCCTTTACTTCTTTGGTTTATTCCTAGATATCTTAATTTTTTTGTTGCAATGGTAAATGGAATTTTTTTTAGTTTCTCTTTCTGTGTGTTTATTATTGGTGTATAAAAATGTCAGTGATTTCTGGGTGTTGATTATTATGTTTTGCTGGATGTGATTAGGCCTAATTATATAATCAAAATCAGGTTTTAAATTATTTTGTGCCCAGGGTCTACTAACTTAACACCCTCCTATCCTTCAAATGATGAAAAGGTAAGACCTAACCACTCTGACATAAACATGAAAACCGTGGCCAAGGGAGGCCAAGTGCCTTGCCCAGAGAGAAATAGTGGTTTAAGTTGAAAACACATATGTAAACAAGTTAATCAACAACAAGGTCTTTTTTTAAAAAAAACAAGGAAAAATTCATTGAACCATATTCACTGACAACCCAGAACCTCACGGCTGCAGAGAGGTCACTGCTAAGTTACGCACCTTGTTCTCCTGGCCCCACTGCCAGACGCTGGGCGCTTGCATGCCCAAGACAGCAAACGGGTCCTTGCCAACAATGATCAAGCCTATTAATACTAGTTTGAAGACTGACAGGAAAGATGCTATGTGTCTATCAAAAGAAAAAAAAATCATCAGAAGCCACAATTTCTCATTTACTTCAAAATTTCATAACTCAAATGTATGTGTACAGATACTTTCTAGGCACCAAATCTAAGTTATTAATTACAACTAGCGAAAAAAGTAGTACTAGTTCATTGTACATTTTTAAAATAAAAATATTGTATATACTTTAAATTAGTCAAAAATTAACTTATAAGATTACAAATATAGCACTGGCCTTTAAAAAATACTATTATTTTATCAGTACAGAATTTTATATCATTGACTAAGTATAAAAATTTGGGAGTTCATGCTCTATCTCCACAAAACAATTACAGAAAAAACACATCTTTTGAAGATCTGTCATCTAGAAAATGAGTCTTGTCTTCTCCTTTTCACAGAAAAATTTTGTATTTGCCATTTATGAAACTGTTTTCTGTATATTATTATAACCAGCTAAGAAATTATAGTAACCAAGGAAAGTTAATTGAACCAATTCACAAAAGTTTATGTAGTCAAACCGTCTCCTTTTAAGTCACTAAAATTTACTTACCTATATATTGGTTGAGGGAGGTAATTCTCTCCTTCAATGCGGATGTCTGGGTACCGCTGGCTAATAACCCGCATGTACTCCTCAAACACCCGCCTATAACCTCAGGAAACACTGTAGAAAAACAAAAGTGCTTCCTGTTAAGTGGTTTCGAATATGCCTAGATTGCGTTTGCAGTTAGATAAAGCCTAAAATTACTAAGATTAAAAGTGTTTTTCAAGAACAGTCACAACGTATAATAATGATTGATGCTGGATGACGGGTATAAGGATGGGTATTTTCTCACAAATTTCACATATTTAAGATACCTCGTCCTCAAGTAAAGCCTTCCATGAGAATATGAGACTTTATAGATTGGGGCTATCGCTGGACAAGAGCAAACACCTACTCACACATGTCAGTGTATTTTGAGCTCTCAAATCAATTTACCTTTAAAAGAAAAAAAAATCAATGACCATGTAAACACTGAAATAAAAACAACTCTTATTCAACTGAAATAGGGACTTTCAAAATTGAGGCACAAGAAACTGAAAAACATACCAAGGCATGAGGCTTAAAACTCTGGGCCTCATTCCCACTCTGCCCCACCTGAACAAACACACCTGCTCCATCACATTAAGAGGAACTTAATAACTTCCAGATCCCTTCTGACTCTAAATCTTGATTCTACTTTATGAATAAAAACAAACATTGGGAAGATAATTTTCAACAATGATAGTTACTCCTGAAATTAAGTCAACAGCATCCAATCATTTTCATTAAAATCTCTGAGCAACTAGATTATGGATATACAATATATGTTGCCCCAGCAAGAAAAGGGAAAATATGACACCAGAGTGCATACATATACAAGAGAGGAAAAAAGTATGCTGATCAAAGCAATTGAAGACACAAAAAGATATCTCAGATTCACGGGTCAGAAGAATTACTATTGTTAAAATGTCCATATTACTCAAAGCAATCTTCAGGTTCAACGCAACCCTTATCAAATTCCAGTGGCATTTTTCACAGAAATAGAACAATCCTAAAATTTTTATGAAACTACAAAAGACCCCAAATAGCCAAAATAATCTTCAAAAAGAAGAAAGCATGGATGCATCATACTTCCTGAATTCAAACTATATTATAAAGCTCTAGTAATCAAAACGATATGATATGAATGTGTTCTCTCTCACAGAAACACCCCTGTACCTTTCCCTTGCCCCTCTTCTTCCCTTACAGGTGTGCATCCTAAATTCTAAGGGTCCCCAGGAGACTTGCAACCAAAAGAGCAATGGGCAGTGGCAGCCCGTCCCGAGATAACCCACTGAAGCTGTCTCCAAGGCTTTTCTCGGACTCTCCAGGGAGCTGACAGCAGCCCTGCCTCGGCCCATTTCGCTCCTATTTCTCAGGCCAAGCGGCCTCACTCAGGCTCTCCTGCTGCTTCCTCTGTGCGGAAGAGGAACCCTTCCTCGTTTCACTGTCCCTGCTTTAATAAATGTAGGCTCAAAATCAAAAACAAACAAAGAACAGTATGGTATTTGCATAACAAAAGACACAGATCAATGGAACAGAATAGAGAGCCCAGAAATAAACCCACACATATATGGTCAATTAATTCAAAACGAAGAAGCCAAAACACACTCTGGGGAAAGGATAGTTCAAACAATATAACAATAGTTTTGGGAAAACTGGACCACTATCTTACATCACACACAAAAATCACCTCAAAATAAAGATCTGAAACCATAAAATTCTTAAAAGAAAACATAGGAAATAAGCTCCTTGACAACAGTCCTGGCAATCATTTTTTTGGATCTGACACCAAAAGCAAAGGCATCAAAAGCAAAAATAAACAAGTAGGACTCTATCAAACTAAAATGATTCTGCACAGCAAAGGAAACCAGCAACAAAATGAAATGGGGCAACCTACAGAACAGGAGAAAATATTTTCAAATTATCTGATAAGGGATTAATATCCAAAATACGTGAGGACCATACAACTCGATAACCAAAAAACTAATAATACATTTAAAAACTTGAAAAAGGCCCTTGTCGGGTGGCTCAATTGGTTAAAGCATCATCCTGTACACCAAAACATTATGGGATCAATATATGGTCAGGCACATACGGGAGAAGCAACCGATTGATGTTTCTCAGTTCTCTCTCATCCATCTCTCTCTCTCCCCCCTCCTCCTCTCTCTAAAATCTATAAAACCTATCCTCAGGTGAGGATTTATAATTTTTTTAAAATCTAGGCAAAGGACCTAAACAAATGGCCAGCGTGTACATGAAAAGATGCTCAACATCACTAATTATGAGGAAAATGCAAATCAAAACCACAAGGAACTAGCACATCACATCTGCCAGGGTGCCCATCATGAAAAAGATGCGAAGTGGAGCGGATGTGGAGAAAGGGAGCCTGTGGTGCACTGTTGGTGGGGAGGCAGACTGGCTAAGCCACTACAGAGAGCAGTATATAGATTCCTTAAAATATTAAAATATTCCTTAAAAATGCAACTACTATTTGATCTAGCTACCCTACTTCTGGGTATATATCTGAAATAAATGAAATCACTATCTCAAAGAAATGGTTGTACCCCCATGTTCGTTGCAGCATTATTTACAATAGCTAAGAAAGACATGGAAACAACATGCCTCAGCTCTCAATGAATAAATGAAGAAAGCACAGTATATGTAATACAATGAAATATTACACATACACACACACACAATCCTGCCATTTGGAATAACATGGATAGACCTTGATTGCATTGTGCTAAATGAAATAAGTCAGAGAAACACAATTATTGTAAGATCTCACTTATATGTGGAATTTAAAAGAGCTGAACTCATAGACAGAGTAGATTGGTGGTGGCCAGGTGCTAGGGGTGGTGAAAATGAGGAGATGTTAGTCAAAAGATGAAAATTCCAGTTTTAAAAAGAATCAATTCTGGGGAGCAAATGTTGGTGACTATTAATGATACTGTACTGTATACTTGAAAGTTGCTAAGAGAAAAGATACTAAATGTTCTCACCACAAAGGCAAGTATGTATGTGAGGTGACGGATGTGTTAACTAAGCTTCTATAGTAATCATTTCACAACATATTTTGTATACTTATATGAAATCATTGCCTCAAGCATATACAATTTCTATTTGTCAATCATACTTCAATAAAACTAAGAAGGGGGTCCCGCTGGTGTGGCTCAGTGGTTGAGCATTAACCCATACACCAAGAGGTTGCCAGTTCGATTCCCGGTCAGGGCACATGCCCAGGTTGTGGGCCTGATCCCCAGTGCGGGGCACACAGGAGGAAGGCCAATCGATGTTCTCTCTCATCGATGTTTCTATCTCTCTCTCCCTCTCCTTCCTCTCTCTCTAAAATCAATAAAAGGGGGAAAAAACTGGGAAGAGGTAGGAGGGTGGTACCACCATATCAACAAAAGAGCTTACAACTTCAGGTAAGATTGTTAAGCACTGACGTACATTAAGTTCTAAGTTAAGGAACACATAGATATAAGGCGAGGAAGGTATCACTTGGTACAGAGGAAGCAGGATCAGCAGTTAAGTCACAGGACAGCAAACCCCAGGTGCCAGCGTTTTAATTACATTGTCATCAATGGAAACATACGGACCGCCATGATCAACCCAAGGGAAGGGCATCACGTTTATACCTGACAGGGCGGGTGAGACAGTCCAACTATCAATAGGTCTCAATTTAAGAAAACTCACTTTTCAAAAAAGAAGAAAAAGTGAGAAATTCAGTCTTTCTTTATAATACTTCCTCTATATTCAATTCTTAAAAGAACTTGTAAATCTCTAGATACCTCATCTTTACTAAGCATGCACCTTATCTAATCTTTTCTTACTACTGTTATATTCATCAAGTATTTGTATTTTGCCACAACCGCTTTTTCTATAAGAAATTATTATATAGATGCTTCTATTATAAAAATAATCTACATTACCTATGTACCTACCGACCTTGAACCAAGAATGCCACCTGCTTTCAATGCCCAAGTTTGCACTAGTGTTTACAATGGAGCTGGTTATCTAAATGACGGTATCTAACTTTTAGTGCATTATTCTCAGAACTAGAGACCTAGTTAGTTGAGTTGAAACTTCTTTTTTACAGATGAACGGAAAAACATGAAGCTCAGAGATAGCAAGTGACTTTTTCATGGTTACGTATCCACGTATTATATATTAATTTACCCAGTATTACTGAATGCCTATTACGTGTCAAGCATTCTATTAGGCAATGGGTGGGAGGTGGTGAGACTAGAACACAGACGTCGTGACATTAGATCTAGGCCACCCCACCAGGCCCCAATAGAACAAGTAGGTAATACCCTTCCCTGTGTCCAGCAAGTAAGTTCTCTTTACCCACAACGCCACAATCAGGCGCCCACACAGCTGGCTTCCTGGTGGCAGAGGTGGCTGAGGCTCCTCCATGGTGAGGACAGTCTCCCTGGAGGAGATCTAAGCCTGTGGGTCCTAACAAGCCCCTCCCGTTTGCGCTGGGAGCGCCAATCCTCCAGCGAGGCACGAGTCCAGGCTAGAGAGCGTGTCTATGCGCAGACAGCACTGCTGGCCAGTCCTCCCCGGCACCCTGTGCTCAGGAGCCTCAGTTCTTCCAGGCCCGTGTCTCCCATCCTCGCACCAAACTCCAAATAGAACCAGCTCATAACCTTGAAATCCAAAAAAGACTTTAAAACTGTTAACTTTCTCATTTCCAAAAAATGAAGTTTACAAGACAAAAACAAACATATTTTTAGACAAGTTTATTTATACATAAGTAAACTTTCTTCTCTGTATTTGCCTCCAGACTCATCAAGAAAAACCAAGGAACTTTTTACCTATGTAACTGTTTTCCTCGGAACAGTTTTTCTGTTTTGAAACAGTAATCAATACTGCTGACAGAAAATAAAACAGAACTAGTGTTTGTGGAGGTGGCAAAATGTTCAAGTAAAGGTGTACATACATGGGAAGGAGCAATAATCATCCCACCTCTACCACCCCACCAGCTCTTTCAAGTTACTCCAGTCTTCCGTCAGGAATAAAACTGTGACTTCTAGTATGCCCCCAACAAATAAACACCTAAACGTGCTACAAATATGATGCAGCAGCTG